GCAGGTCTAAGCTGAAGTCGGACATCCTTAGCGCTGCTGAGGAGGCGCGAGAGGCTCCCACCACCACCGCTGTACTGGCAGGTGTCAGCCTGGCTTGTGGCTGAGCATAGCTCCCCCTGTGGGAGCGCACTGACCACCAGGGGGCAGCTCCTGCATTGAGCGTCTGCCGCCTGGTGGTCAGTGTGTGTCATAGTGACCAGTCATTCTCACTCGTTCTGCTTTTAGGGTCAATTTGCCTATTACCCTTTTATTATATAGGATAAAAAACCCAATACAAACTTGCTGGTACTGGTTTAATTAATCAATTGAGTCTTGACTATGTACACAGCTCTATTGGATGCTGTTGGGAATATAACAGAGGGTTATATTATGATATAGGCAAGGCCATAAAATTCACTTAATGAAATACTAAAGAACAATTGCCTTCTAAACCATATAGCAGAAACTGAAAACATCATGGATTTTCAGAGACAGGGGGTTCAGTGGGGCCCATGTGCTCTGTAAAGGCTTCATGAGGATGTGGGGTGGTAGCAAAGATGTGGAGAGTGATAACAATTAAGACAGCTCTGTGTGTGCCCACGTCTGTGTTCTTGCTATACATTTGAAATAAAAATTTATTTGCTCTAAAGTTCTCTTTTGTAGTTACTTTCTCAGGGTTATTGTGATATAAAAATATTTATCCTTTTCCATATTGGAAGCGGGTGTTGCCTCCCAATTTAGCTGCAATGAGGAATAAGCTGTATGCACATGTATAAAGGTTTGACCTTTGCTGTATTTGTGCCTGGTCAGAAGGAGGCTTGGGGAGTGTTTCATGTGGTATTTTTCAAAATTTGAGACTAGATTCTAATCAAAATGCATTTTTCTAAGATTAGTTTTGCCATTTACCTAGCAAACTAATGAGTTAAATAAAGTTGAAGTCAATAGCATTCTCAATAAAAAGAACAGTGATTTGCCCTTTGATTTCACAATCCTGTCAGGGATTTAACGGATCGAATCCTTGGTTTCATCACAATATTTTCCTGTAAATTCTGTCCTACAGTAGAGAGAAAGCAGATTCATTTTCCCAAAGGATCAAAGTTATAATTAGAAATTGTGTAGTTTAAAAATTGTGAAAGCTCCAGTATCCATATCCAAAGAATAGAATTTTAGAGTGGAAAAGAGTGTCAAAAGTGATGAGTCATAACCTCTTACTGACCAGACAGGACAAATGATGTGCCTAAGGTCCCACAGCTCACAGCTGGGAAATGGCTGGTCTAGAGTCCTTGTGCCCTAGTTTCTACTTCACCATGCTGCCTCCTTTTTTAAAAATTCCAATAAAACGTGCAGAAAAATATGGATATGTGGGTTACACACGGAGCCCCAAAGTTCTATCATGGTTGTTGAGATTTGTTCATCCACAACACGCAGCTCAAGATGTATCTCAGGCAAAGCCACCAAGAACAGACACAGGAGACCCAAGTCCTGCCCACACAAATCCCTTCACCGAGGCCTCCTTGAATTCTCAGGCCTCAGTCTTGTTAGGCCTTAGTCCAGTTCCTGGGAACATCCTGTGCTGCCGACGTGTGACCTCAGGCCTGGACATATGACTCCACCCTGAAGCCAAGGCAGGGGCCGGTGGAGGTTGTTTTACTTAGACCCAGGCCCGCGCTAATGGCCACCACGAATTTACTGTGGGCAAACCCACGTGTCCCACGGTTCAGTTTCCTTGGGGACGACACAGGCCCTTCCAAGAAGCATGTGCATTTGGGTGCTGTGTATACGTGCCAGCTGGATGTCAGTTCCATGGCGTGACTTTGTCTCTATGGTAGGTATGTTAGATCGCTTTGGAGACTTGTTCCTTGTGGTAACTATGTAGCCACATCTTCAAAGCGGGGGTAAAAATTAGGACGGAGCCCATCACTGAGACTATCAGGAAGAGCCACAGGAAGATGCGGTCCAGAACTTGCGCTACGAATTTCCAGTCTTGTACTACCTGCGAAAGAGACAAAAAGATAGCTTCCATTTAGGAGGCGGGGCAACATTCCGGATTTGTTCCACGGCACTCAGAGAGGGCAATATTCCGATTTACAGTTTTCAAAACACACCTAACACATCGCCTGTACAATAGGCTCGGATGCTTCCCGGTCACCTCACTAATGATGCCCAAACCGAATGGCCTGTGAACACTGTCATCAACATTGAAGATGTACAATAGTAACACAGAATTGTTGATGCATTTGTAAGCATTGCTGATTAAAACGGGGGGGAAACCCACTCTTTTTTTGCACAGATAAAAAGCCAATATCTCTCAGTGAGTTGCTTCCTGATATTACATATAAAACGAACCACAAATTTATAAATTAAGAATTGCCGTGGCTCAACGTCACAAGCCTATCTTTCTTCAACCCCACATGTGGGCCTGGCTGCTACAGCTCCAGAAGGATGGGCACTGCCAAGGAGGAGACCTGGCCAGGAGATGGCAGGGATTCATGAGGGAGAGAGGAGACCAAGGCCCTTCGGAGGAAGGGAAGTCGGGAGGGATGGGCAACAAGCTGTTAAGGGCAAGGTCAGAGCAGCAATGAGCAGCGAGGCTGGAGGACAGGCCAGTTATCATCTTTAAAGGGGAAAATGCCCTATTTCAAGTCATAGATCTGAGTCCAGGACTGTTTTGAGCCTGAAATTCACAACCTCAACACACATTTTTTGTTCAAATCTGTAAGCTAAATAACTACACTCTTTTCTCTCACCAAAATATTGGTTGTATCCCTCTTTTATTTTTTTCTTTATTGATTAAGGTATTACATATGTGTCCTTATCCCCCCATTGCCCCCACACACCCCCACTCACGCCCTCACCCCCCTGGTGTCTGTGTCCATTGGTTAGGCTTATATGCATGCATACAAGTGCTTTGGTTGATCTCTCCTCCTTACCCCCACCCTCCCCTTATCTTCCCTCTGATGTTTGATGGTCTGATCGATGCTTCTCTGTCTCTGGATCTGTTTTTGTTCATCAGTTTATGTTGTTCATTATATTCCACAAATGAGTGAGATCATGGTAACATTCTATTTTTCATATTAGTTTAAAAATCTGACACTTTCTGTTCCTTTACTTCCAAATACTATGGATAGAAATATCCATCATCCCATAAAAAAAATGAGAAATTACCAGAGACCAGAATAGCCTATTTAAAATGTAGAATTGAATTATTTTAAATAGAATTAAGTCAAATCATAAGGACTAGCCCTTAACCCAGAGTTGCTTTACTCTCTCATATTCTGTTTTTGTGAACTTCTTAAAAATCCATGTCCAAATCCCTAATTTGTGTCAGGGTTTGTTTTAAATTTTGTACATGTAAAGCAGATAGCTAATAATGCCACATTGTAAACAACGACAGCAATTTTGTTGTAAATCGAAGCGAGAACATTCATTCTGGCGCAGCTCAGTGGCAGGCAGCCTTATTCTGAACACCCGTCGACTCACCTGGCTGATAAAATGCTCCTTCTTCACGTGCCTGGAGATGTATCTAATGGAGTCAGCAGCCTTTTCCAAGAAAGCAACCAGAACCTTCTCTCCGTCCCCCATCTGCTTCTGTTTCTTTTTTCCTAGGACTTTACCTTGCACCACCCGTTTCCTCTCGTCTTTCTCTGGGGAAGAGTAGCGATCCACGTGGTGCTTCATGCAAAGTAATTTAGGAAGTCTTTGCAGAAAGAGCCTCTTAACCCAGGGGGCCATGGGGTGGTGAGTGGACGAAGATCTGTGGTGAACATTAATGACGAACACGGTGACAATAATCGACAGGGTGACGAAAATCATGATGAACAGCAGGTACTCTCCAATGAGAGGGATGACCTTGGAGGAGGAAGGGATTATTTCCTCAATCACGAGAAGGAAAACTGTCAGGGAAACCAGGACAGAGGTGGACAAGGAAAGCTTTTCCCCTTCGTCAGAAGGTAAATAGAACACCAGAACCGTCAGAAAAGAGAGTCCCAGGCAGGGGATTATCAAGAAGAGGGTGTAGAACAGAGGCAGGCGACGCAGGACGAAGGAATAGGTGATGAACGGGTAGGAGTACAGACCGTCTCTCCTGTGTCCCTTCATCCCCTTGGCATTTAGTATTTCCCATTCTCCATTATCGAAGAAGTCTTTCCTGTCGACGTTTTCGTTCATCAAAACGAGGTCGACCATGGTACCATCGTAAGTCCAGGACCCAAACTTCATGGAGCAGTTCTGCCGGTCAAATGGGAAAAACGTGACGTCCATGGTGCACGAGCTTTTGTAACTGGCAGGAGGGGTCCAGGTGACGGTTCCATTCGATTTCACGATGACTTTGGTCATGAGGGAGCCTTCGAAACGCCCATCAGCACTGTGGCAAAAGTAGTTTCACTTTAATGGTAAGCTGGCTCTTATTCGTTTGTGTGTGTGTGTGTGTGTGTGTGTGTGTGTGTGTGTGTGTGTGTGTGTTGTCTTTTTGCCCACCACTGGACTATTTGTATTTTATTACTTTCCTACTACAGGGTCAAACAATAACTCGAAAAGAAACAGTTCCCTGGCTACTTGAAGTTGTGCATTTCTCTTCATTATTTTACCAACATCAGGCTTTTCTATTTCTGGTCCTAACCTGCCCAGCGTCCTTTTCTTCTCTGATACTTACTTTTCAAAGAGAACTATGTCAGGGAGCCAGAGAGATTCCGATGGGACTTTAATGGAATGAATTCCGCCGTATTCATCAGGATTCCAGCGTAATTTGTGGTCTGTCCATTCCTGCATACAATTAGCACACTGTAATTTTATTCTGAACAGTCAGTGTTTTTCACTTTGGAATCTTCACATTTATGTTAATTTACTAGCCCAGTGTTTTACTTAAATAGCGCATTACTAGGTCTTATGACTCTATCTGTGGCAGTTGGAAAGATAGGGCTTGAGCCAGCCTGTCTCTGGTCTTGCCCAGGCCCACACACCCATCCTACCTGGGATTCCCAAAATTGCTACATCTACCTCTCAATGAAGAAGCTCAGCAACAAACAACACTGATTCATGATCCATTTTTTCCAGCCTATTTTCTCTTATGAAACAAAAGGCAATGATAGATCTAACTCAGTGTCTTCTAGGTGACTTGGTCCAGTGATATTTTAATGTCACGGTAAAGGGTACAAATAATTTTGAATGTCACTCAAGAGTCCTGAACAAACATCCACCCGGTATGTTCCTATGAAACATCCAGGATCTGCTGACTACTCTTGATGACATTACAACTTTTATCCAAGGAAAAAATATTTTCCAAGAATTTTTTTTCTAAGTTTTAATCTGAACTTATCTTATGAGCACCCAATTACAGTTTCAAATTATACTCCTAATAGTGTTAGCCTCCAATGCTTACATATTTGTTCTCATCATAGAATGAAATTATAGCATGTTTTACAGGGGCTGGTGGACCCAGATTAACAAGCATGACCATTAATTGATCTGATTATGAAGGTTAAGAGGCTGACACATGGATGACCCAATTACAGTAGAAATGGACTTCCTTAAAAAGATTTTGGATCCAGAATCTTATGAAATCTGACCTGAAAATTAAATTCTTCTATTCTACTGTCCCTCATGTGGACAGTTGAGTAATGATGTAGGATAATGCTAAACGACATTTCAGAACGCTAGAAGGGTATGCCCAGTGCGAGGCTTCCTGGAGCCCAGTGATGTCAGCTTTGTCATTAAAAAATGGGGAGTCGGCAGATGGATGACTTGACTGGATGGTAAAATATTACAATAAGCAGGATGCCTGAAAGGGATAGAACTACACACTCTAGATGAGCTATTTTCTATTTTAGACAGTGTTTGTGAGGCTCAATCCTTGAAAAACAAATTTTAAAAAATATGAGTCTTTAAAAAGCTACATGCCCCTTAGGTGGTTTGGCTCAGTGGATAGAGTGTCAACCTATGGACTGAAGGGTCCCAGGTTCGCTTCCCATCAAGGGCACATGCCCGGGTTGCCGCTGGATCCCCAGTAGGGGGCGTGCAGCAGGCAGCCAATCAATGATTCTCATCATTGGCGTTTCTATCTCTCCCTCTCCCTTCCTCTCCGAAATCAATAAAAAATATATTTTTAAAAGTACTACACTATAAGGGATAAAAATTGCATGACAATTTATGGAAAAACCATGCTTATGAAAACTGACAGTTTAAAAGGCCAAACTAATAAAGTATTTACCATGTTTACTTGGTACTCACAGGCTTATTTTTCCCCCCTTTCCTCTGCCCATTTTGAAAAGCAAATATAATTTCATTCCCATGAATAATTTGTTTCTTGCTGAGGAGACTTTTACCATCAGCAGGTCTGAATCTCAGCAATGTTGAGGGAAACTCAGAGCCGCATTTTTTGTCTGTCTCACTTTCACCTCACTTATGTTTTCAAAATTTATTTACAATAAAACTCCCCTTTTCTTGTGTATAGTTCTATCTGCAAACAGTTGTATAATCACTAACACCATCAGGATACCAGAACAGCTCTGTTGCCCAATAAATTTCCCATTTGTAATCAACCCCTCCCACATCCCCAGCCCCTGGCATGCTGGTCTATTTTCTGATCCTATAATTTTGCATTTTCTAGAATTCTATATCAATGGAATCATGCAGTAGGTAGCCTTATGATCCTGATTTCTTTTCTTATCACATGGATTTTTGATTCTTCTATGTTGTATTAATTTGTTCATTTTTATTAGTGAAGTCTCCCATTGTATGAATATACCACAATTTTTAAAATTTTTATTATTTTAAAAGTGTTTTTTGTTAAAAGTATTACATATGCCCTCTTTCCCCTGCACTGACCTCTTCTAGCCCACCTCCACCCCTGCCCTAGGCCTTCATCACCCTATTGTCAGTGTCTATGGGTTATGCATATATGCATACAAGTTTTTTATCATGCTACTTAAGAGAGAGAGAGCAGCTTTCAGCAAGGCATCCTGGGAAACAGGAGCATCATCTCCCAGGGATGTCCACACAGGGGGAGGGGGGGTGCAGAGGGAACTGGGACACTGCAGACTTGTCTTTCTCTGACTGGCTTATTTTGCTTAGCATAATACTCTGAATATACTACAATTCATTTATCTATTCTCCAGGTAAAATATTTGGATTCTTTTCAGTTTTTAATGACCATAAATAAAGCCACTGGTTTTCTGCCACCTGCACCTAAAACATTCTCGGCTGATTCTGGGGAGAATCCCAGTGGGCCCTGAGCAGGCAGCATGCTGTAGGCACACAGGCAGTGAGCCCCACGGCAGACAGACACATTCTCGGACAGACTGACTGGAGTTGAGCCCTTACATTCTAGCTCGGTCTTGGAAAACAATGTTAGTGAGCACAGCTAATGAGCCCAACCCCACAGTTCCTCCCTTTGGACCAAAAGATATTTGGAAATGAAATCGTCTGCCTCTTGGATCCAGCTTTCTCTCCACTCCAGGCACAGCCGGTGTTCACCTATGCCCAGCTCTGCACTGCAAAGGGGGAAGGTGCACGGCTGATATGCTGGGGCCCCTGCCTTGGTGCAATCACCGGTTCTACCAGCTGTCCTAAGAGAACTGGGCCAAGCCCCAGGGCGAGGGATTTTTCAGCCAGAAAGGTTTGCCTTGCTTACTGGCCCTTGAACCGCGGCATGAACAGCTGTGGCCAGAGATAACAGAGAGGTAGTGGTATATTATGGGGCTCACAGTTTGGGGGGAATTAATGCATTCTACAAGCGTGCCAGGCTTGTGTGCGCGTGGAACACAAACCACCACCGTGTACTCCAGCCTGGTGCTACCTCAGGAAGTAAACAAGTAAACTAACGAGACAACTGATCACCACACCTGGGGCCCTTGCTATGAAGGGGGAAGGGGGTGCAGTTGTGGGCAGGGAGTTCTGAGGAGTTGACCCTCCAGCTGCGATCTGAAGGGTAAGAAGGAGCAGTGGGCGGTGGGTGCAGAGGTCTGCCGTAGATGGAGCCATGTGAGGGATGCGTTTGAAGCCCTGAGGAGGATGTAAAGATCTGTAGTGGACTCAGGCTGCGTTCCTGAGCAGTGAAGACCACGGGCTAGCTGACTTTGGTGACAGCTGCTTACTTGGGGGCACCCAGGAGAGAAAGGGCACCGAAGCCCTGGGCTCCCCTGTGGGTTGTCCTTTATTTGTTGCAGGTGGAGAGGGTCACCCCTCACAAGCTCCCTGTCCTTCTGCAGCCAGACCTGGGGAATCGGACGCTGTCCCTGACATGCCCAGCAGAGGGCCTCACCGAATTTCTACCATGATGTGAGTCCACTGCCATGCTGGCCGAGCCTCGTGCCCCTAATGACCACGCTGTGTTAGACTCGGCAGAGTCAGGATGAGGATCCAGAGCCCAAATCCTCTATCTTGTCCTCTAAGGAGCTGTGAGGTTTTCTGGGCAGGTGCCTGTTCTCTCCAAATCTCTAGGCGCATCTGGAGGTTAACCTCCTGCCCCCCCCCCCTTTTTTTAAGTATATTTTATTGATTTTTTCCAGAGAGGAAGGGAGAGGGATAGAGAGTTAGAAACTTCGATGAGAGAGAAACGTCGATCAGCTGCCTCCTGCACACTCCCCACTGGGGATCTGCCCACAACCAAGGTACATGCCCTTGACCGGAATCAAACCTGGGACCCTTGAATCCGCAGGCCGACGCTCTATCCACTGAGCCAAACCAGTTAGGGCTCTTCCCTTCTTAAAGTAAGAGATTAGAAATAATATCCTGTGTCCGTGGAGCACGTTCTAGCCATGACTCTCAGAGCCCTTGACAAATATCAGCTCCACTTCCCACGGCTCCCAGCGGAGGGCTGTGTTATTGCAGGAAACAGGAGAGTGGGGGCATGTCGGGGCCAAATAATAAAGTTAATCTACCACTAAGAAAAAATGGAAAAATACTCCAAGTCTAGGTTTCCTAACTTGGAAAAGTACAATTTCAAATCCCTGTCATGAATATCCCCTTAAAGTTGTCTTTCCTTACATATATTACCTGAAATATCACTCATGTCTACCTGTTACCACAATTCAGAATGAAATTTCATTGAAACCTAAATCATAAGATTTTTTTTTACCATAAATAAATTCTTCAAATTATTCTCAGTTTAATAGTAAGACAACTAGATGGTCAGGGACAAATATTCGTTGCTATTGCTGTGATTTGCAGCCTGAGTAGGACATCCCTGGGTAGTTCAGTTATCTCAAGATCAGATGAGACTTTCTTAAAACCAAATTAATGTTGATTCATTTTAATCTTAAATACAGCAACACGACATATCATATGTCTCATATTCCCATTACATCCATGAATTGTCTGTGCCAACAGATGGGATTTGTCATTAAGGATGAGAAAACCCTCCAACCAACCACCCCAGCCTCCTGCCCCCCAGCTGTCAGCCTGCTCTCTATCTATGAGTCTGTCTCTATTTTGCTTGTTAGTTCGTTTTGTTCATTAGATTCCACATATGAGTGAAAGCAAAGAAGAAAAAGAAAAGGAGAAAAAAACTCATGGACATAGACAACAGTGTGGGGATTGCCAGTGGGTAGAGGTGGGATAGGAGGGGAAGGGAGAGGAGGAAAAGGAGGGTTTAGGGAGGATAAATGGTAATGGCCGGAGAGTTGAGTTGGGTGGTGAACATACAATATAGCATACAGATGATGTGTTGTAGAATTGTGCACCCCAAACCTGTATAATTTTGTTAACTAGTGTCACCCCAACAAATTAAATAAAAAGCAAAAAAGAAAGGATGAGAAAGCCTACAA